TCCTTTTAATCCTTTTAATCCTTTTAATCCTTTTAATCCTTTTAATCCTTTTAATCCTTTTAATCCTTTTAATCCTTTTAATCTTTTAATTAGGTCACGTGACTTGCTCGCGCGTTGCACTCTAGAGGGATACCCCGCTTAGCCTTGACAGCTTCTTTCCTCGTATTAAATAACGACGTACGTCCAACCCGAGTCTGTGCCTCTGATCCAACAGTAATAAACTCGTTATTTCTGAGTATGTTCGCCCGCACGCCTTCCACCCCGCCGAAAATCTCCTCTATATTAGCGAATCAGCAAGACATCATCTTCCGCCATCCGGGTTACGATGATGATAATAATGTCTTGCTCAAACTCTTTGCGCCTGATGCACGCCCCTCGTCATCTGCTTCATCAAGCATCGGCTTGCACGCGGGCTATGCCTTAACGGTTTGCGGTATCGTAGCCGGAAATCGATGGGATGGCTGGCTCTCGGAACGACGAGATGACCCCACCGGGATCTCGTTGGTCGCTGATCGGGATACGATGCTGGACAAACACAGCTACTACTTCCACCTACCCCACGACAACGACAACGACAATCAAGACGACAATACGCCGTATCCAATTGTGCCCACGTTTCGGGAATGGCGCTTCCCGCACGATCGGCTGCCACCATCGTGGACACAAACCGCACCACCCGAACCGATTCAACAACTACAAATGTACACAGTTTCGGGCCTTAGCATAGCCTTGCGACAACGTGATGGAACCTGCCGCATCACGGGCTGTCAAGAAGGCGTTCAAACAGCGCACGTGTGTCCGAGGGCGGAAGAAGATTGGTACCTACGAAACGGCATGTCCAGATATAATTATGGGAACTCCGACAGTGCTCATAATATAGCCAACGTCCTCCTTCTCCGTGCAGATTTGCATATCGCCTTCGACAAACCCGGCTTCGTTTTCGTCCCTAAACCCTCTATTAGTGGCGAATCACAAAAATTTGTTTTCCACTGCGTCGAGCCATCTCCGGAGTTTGGATACCTATACCATAACCGAGTGACGCAAGGCCTAAGAGTGAGCGAAGAGCTCTTGTTTGCACGTTTGGCCTGGTCAATTTTTCCATTGCTGAGCTCTTTCCTCAAAAGCAAAATACCCCGCCGCCTATGCCTGCGATCGAGCAATGACAACGGCAGAACAGCGACGGGACCTTTTTTCGCATCCGCAGAGCAGTGCGAGGATCTATTGACGAAGGGAAACAAGTCTCGAAATGCCAGTCCTAAGAAGCGCGGTAGACCCGAAGATTGTGTACAGGAGGCAGACACAGACTCATTGCAAGAAGGTGAATATCAACGATCTCGGAAACGTCGTCGAAGTTCTAGCCCGGTGCAAGATCCGGCCATTAATCAAAGCTCCGTTTTGTCAAACATACCTTCACCTTCGCCTACTACGCCGGTTTCTGTTGACAACCCGACTCCCCTTCGGCAAGAGTGGTTACACAAAGAAAGACAACGATCCGATCCGAGCGGCCAGTGGGAAGAAGAAATGGCATGGGGTACCAGTGTCTACAACGGCGATATCACACTTGGTTCGGCTAATATTGCGCGTTGGGTTGAGTTTAATGGTGGGGAGCACCCTCCTCCCAACAAAAATGCCTGGGACTGATTGATCTTATCTGCATAAACTATATAAAATTCTCTAACGTTCTCTTAATTAGAAAGCTATAAAATAGCTAGGTGTATGTGAAGGAGTTGGCTTCGAGCCCACTCCGGGCGGGACTTGGCCTGAGGCCACTATGGGCGCGCTACGGGCGCCCCCTTCGGAGATAGGTAGACTAGCTTTTCCCTCCTCTCTTACTCCGTAAGAGAGTTAATACTATTGTGACGCCTACTTGCAGATGCCCTAGGGCCAGTCCTCAACAACTGGTTGCACCTATAAGGGTGCCCCTACAGGGGCTCGGCGCTGGCCACCTAGAGAGGTGCTGGGCATAGCCCGGCCCGTAACAATACTCTAGAAAAAGATCCCGCCGGGGGAGTCTGATGTGCAGCTTCATTATCACAACCTCGCAGAAGGGGATAGACTGGGGACGTGACGCTACCAGACATACAGTTGCAGGTCAGCAATTGTGGCAATGCAAACAAATTTAACCGACACCTTAGTAAGCCGTTTATACTTATAGTTTAACTTTTCAAATTACTTTCTAGTTATTTACAGTAGTACTTAAGCGGTTTAAGCTGTCTACATTAAACTTGACGCTAAGAAAGTGGGGTATGTCGAAACCGGACGTTTTCCCAACTCGAGAGTCAAACATCAGGCGGAAAAGGGAGCTTGGCTCGGGCCGCGATAAACGGCTATTGATAGCATCACCCCTCATCATATTCTATCATCGATGGAAACGCGACCGGTAGAAGAGGCCGCTGTCAAGCCACCCGTCCACGCGAAGCGGACCCCGTCCCCCAAATCCCCCAGCGAAGCCGAGGATGGTGTGACGAATACTCAGATTCCGTGCGTGCAGATCTGGACCCTGTCTGAAAGGCGTGGTATGAGAACCCGCGACTGAATGACAGCAGTTTCGTCGACCAAAACTCAGACGACGATAATGACTCGGCTCTCGGAGACGATGAGAGGTAAGCCAGACTTGGATGTAGATGCCGTCTGCGCCCCGCTACCGAACCTGTTCAAACAGACAGAAGAGAACAGCTAACAAATGCTGCGCACTTGGCCTTAGTATAACATCGTCAAGCATCTCCCTCACAGACAGCATCTTTGAGTATCGCGCCCTCCATGGCCGCACATACCAAGTCTCCAAGTCGACCGAGTACTGGGGCCCCAACGACGAGGAGCAAAACGAGGGGCTGGATCTCGCCCACGCCCTCATCACCATGCTCCTGGGCGATCGGCTGTTCGAGGCCCCTCTCGGGAAGCCGCCGAGCAACGTGCTCGACGTCGGCACCGGCACCGGCATCTGGGCCCTCGACGTCGCCGACACGTACCCGTCGGCGTTGATTGTCGGCACCGACATCAGCCCCATCCAGCCCACCTGGGTGCCGCCCAACTGCACCTTTTACATCGAGGACGCCCAGCTCGACTGGACCTTTGACCCGGCCAGCTTCGACTTTGTGCACATCCGCGCCATGTACGGCAGCATCAGCGACTGGGGCCGGCTGTACCAGCAGGCCTACGACGCGCTCGTCCCCGGCGGGTGGATCGAGAACTTTGAGTTTACCATCAACCTGCACAGCGACGCGCCGCACGTGCGCGACGACCCGCAGCACATCTTCAAGCGCTGGGCAGAAGTCTTCCACGAGGCCGCCGACCGGCTGCACAGGACGCTGCGCATTGGCAACAACGGCACCATCGGCCGGCTGCTCCGCGACGCCGGCTTCGAGGATGTCACGCAAAAGTACTACCAAGTCCCAGTCGGCGCTTGGAGCAGCGACCCCATGTACAAGAAAATCGGACTGTACAATCTTGCCTTTATGGAGCAGAGCTTGGAAGGGTTCGCGCTGTTTCTGCTGAGGGACATAATGCAGTGGGACTACGAGCGCGTACAGCTCTTCCTGATGGAAATGCGGGCCGAGATACGGAATACTAAGATTCGTCCGTTTTATCTCATGTGAGTACCATGTGTTCACGCTGTCTAGACGATGCAATGCTGACACGCTCCAAGGACGAACGCCTACGCAAGAAAGCCACTGTAGTGGAGAGGGTCATGGCAACATATGTATAAAGCTGCGATATTGCAGCAGTAAATATAAGGCACTTATATACTTTGAATTCACTCGTCTTACCCCTGTCTATTCAAAAATTCCCTTCGCTCCGTCACCTGCACCCACATGTTGGAAATCTGGAACAGGCCGAGACAGTTGTGGCTTGTCCACGGGTTGGTAGGATCGAGAATGGCCAGGTCAAAGTGCCGGAAGACCTAACATTGCGCACCATGAGCCACGTATTCTTCTTTCGGTGTCTCTTTTTTTGTCAACGTACCTCGAAGATGAATTTGCTGATTTCCATCTGCGCAACCTTTTGGCCCAGACAACGAAACTTGCCGTGGCCAAACACGAGCTCATTGGTAAAGACCATGACGCCCAGTCTCTCCTCGTCCGTCTCGAGCCACCGCTCCGGACGAAAGGCATCCGCGTCCGGGCCGTATATTTCTTTGCTGTGGTGCATCGCGTACGCAGAATAGCCGATGCAGGCGCCGCCGGGTAGGAAGACGTCCTGGCCATCCACGCGGACCGTGTCGCCCGTCGGCGGCACATCGCGGGAGAAGATGTTGGCGACGGGCGGGCTCAGCCGCGTCGCTTCGCGCATTACCGCCTGCAGATACGGCAATTTTTTAGCTTGCGCCGCCGTGATGAACCCTTCGCCTCGGCCGGGCGCACGCCCGCTGCGCACCGCATCGTCGACTTCGTCCTGGAGTCGGCCGTGGACGCGCGGATTCGTCATGACGTAGAGCAGCGTGGCGCGGATAGCCGTGGCGGTGGTGTCGGACCCGGCAATGATTTGCTCGAGCGCCTCGGTGCGCAGCTCGTGGCCGGCGAGCCCGTGGCGGATAAACGAGGCCAGCATGTCGGAGCGCTCGCTGGCGGGCTGCGCGACGCGCGCGTCGACGAGCCGGAAGCACGCCGCCATCATCTTGCCGAAGCCGCTGCCGTCGTCGGGCGAGGGCGCAATGAACCGCCCGAGCCACGGCAGGTGCGACAGCCAGCTGACGCCGAGCGCCAGCGCCGTGTTGCCGATGGACAGGCCCTCCTCGCTCGACTGCAGGTAGTTGTCGACGTCGTGGTCGGCTTGCAGCATGCCGAACGCGGTGCCGAGCCCGATCTTGCTGATGACGTCGAGCGTGAAGAACTGCACTTTGCGCGCCATGTCGGTCGGGATGGTCATTTGGCTGGACGAGATGTAGCTCGTTTGCAGGAGCGAGAGGAAGTGCCCGAGGCACTCGTCAATGGAGTCCTCGAGGTGGGCATTCTCGCGTCCAGAGTACTATCGAGGAATTAGAAACATGCATCCAGTCGCTTCTCAGCCGTTTCATCGACATGTTGCTCAGCGTCTTGCGAAGACATACCCCCGGCGCCATCTGCTTCCTCCGCATGTCGTGCTTAACATTGTCGGTCTGGCTAAACACGTTGTCTCTGCGGTGCTCGATGCGGACGGCATTGTAGTACCAGTCAGAGCGTTTATACCCAGGCGTGTTGTTGACGTGCGCCCAGACATGCGGCGACGACGTTGTGAGGATATTCGGGGCGACGCGCGCAATAGGGCCTGAGACCATTGGCGGCACAGCGATTAGCTTTAGCATCCCAGGACCCCAACGTGGGGGCAGCTTGGCGGTCTACTCCTCCGTACCGTATTTCTTGTTTGCCTCGGCGTAGAACAGGTGGCTCTTGCCGCGGAGCATGGCCAGGCGGTGCGGGATGCTCGACACGGCCGCCCAGGGCGGGCTGCGGAAGCCGCTCAGCCGCTGGTAGCTCCGAAATACATGGCTGGCGAGGAACAATGCCGCAAGGGCGGAGATGTACGGCAGGCAGAGCTGCCAATGGCTCTTGGTGGTGGTGTCACAAGTGTTGCTAGCAGCATGGGTGAGGTTCATCTTGAGTATCTTGAATATCTTGCGTATTTTGAATTGTCCATGACAGAAAAGAGGGGTTCACGTCCTAGTTTTCTCTTCAGCTCTGGAATACAGACTGAAAATGCGTCCAGAGTATCCCTACCGGCATCCACTTTACCAGGGAGCCGGGCCCATCTGTATAAACTGTCCGGCGAACGCACAACTGCCGACGGGTTGTCCCAAACAAGATAAGTGCGTGTCCACCAATTTGGCTAGTGGATCCCGCTCAAACGTGGCATGGCCATGGCCAGTAAAACCCACTGAAAATCGCCCGATAAATTGTCCAATAGCATTACACATAATGGTAAGATAGTCACACCCATTATACCGCCCATCACGTATTGCAGAGGCGGGATGAGAAGATCGGATGAGGGGTGACTAGGACAATGATGCTTTTTACCAGACTCTCGTCGAGTTTCGGCCTGCAGCGGGGGGGCACGTACCATCCCAGCCACGTTTGTCAAGACACATCATTGACTGAATTAGCGGAGCACCCGTTTGACATGTCAAAGTTTGTGATTCAAGGTTGGGCGTAAGCGAGGGCGTTTGTGCGGGGAATCTCGACCAACAGAAGCCAGAAGAACAGCTGTCCGACAACCACGGAAGAAAAATAGCAAAGGTACAAAGATGAGGATATGAATAAAGAGTAGGAAAATGATAAGATGATGAGATACGGTAAGATGCGGAAAATTATAGGGCAGTGTTACTAATTACTACCAAACCAGCCGTTCATTCGACTTTCTAGTGCCCTTCTAGTGCCCGTGGTGGCCTAAGGCCAGGACTAGACCGAGTGTCTTTTGACCACTTGCTGAGCCCTACCACCGAACCCCCTCAAACACAAACAATGCGCCTGCACGACGCGTGTCTCTCGCGACCACTCCCCCCCATTTGCGCTCCCATGTTTCAATATGGCATCCTGGGTACATCTGATGATACTGAACCGTTTTTCCTGCAATTGATCGGCCGCCTCCAAGAGCTGCGTGACCTTGACCTTGAATTTCTAGCAATCGCGTCTTTAAAGCCCGCGACAAAAAAAGGCCCGTAATAGTCTCTCATTCTCAGCAGACAGGTATCAATGTGAGCGCCGTCTTGTACATCTGCCGAGAAGTGTATAAACCCACAATATGATTTACTGGCTTGTCATGTCGCCGAACCTGCGCCAGATTTCTCATGCTTGACTGCCATATGGGCTCTTCGCGCTGCATACCTTGAGGACGGCTCAAGAACAAGACGAGACATTATGGGTGAGACAGACGTTGTACACGACGGGAGTGCCCCCCAGGTTACTGCGCAACGTGGGATACAATGTTAGCGTAACGCTTGTCTGACGGTTATTAGTCCCTATTTTGCGAAGTAGCCGTTTCTGAGAGAGGCATGGAAAAGTCTGTGTGCTCAGCGCCAAGCCGGGCGGCAGTCCACGGTCGCACGACAGCCCCATGGAACTCTGGGCCTATCGCGAGTAGCCAGCTTTCCTTCCGCATGATTCTCTGGGCATGGGAACGAAACGTGACAAGAATTGATGAAAGAATATGGAGAATTGCGCTATTGGCGTTGCAAATATAATGTATTGGCTCTCGTTGGTGCGCTGCCATGACCATCCTGACGTTTGAATAACCCCGAGACGGACCCGGCCAACTGTAGTAACACCCAGCAACTCTGACATGAACAGAATATTGTACAAAATAAATTTCATTGCTCTCTCGCGCCATAAACCCCGGCCAGAATCCATAAGAAATCATCGATTATCCCGTTTTTCCTCCCATCCATGACTCCGCAAAGAAGCTTCCATTGGCACTGTTGGTTGGCCAAAGCCAACGCGCCCCCTCCACCCTTATCGTTTGTGATCCGGGCGAACCCCAAGTGGCCTCCAATAAACAAACTCCATCAAGCTTCAACAGTAGCAAAAAGCACGATCTTCTTCATAGCGGCAGCAGTCAATGCCGCCACAAACGTCGCCGGTGATCCACCGGGCCATGTAGGTGCAGACTTGTAGAGTTTTGGCGTCCGAGTCGCACCTGAAAGCCCCGGGAGTGCAAGGAGGTGTTGCTGCGACTCCGACAATTGCGGTGGCGACGGCGATGAGAAGGGCATTCTTCAAGATGGACATTGTATGATAGCCCCGCGGGCGTTGAAAGACGGCGTAGGAGCAAAGTGGACAATAATAGTAGAAGAGAGTTGAAAGACGATGTAGGGTGACATGCTTGGATTAACCTTTTATATCGATACTAGGCTATTCTTCGAGGTTGACAGGACCCTCCCCCGTGTTCTTTGTCGCAAGACCCCTTGTACAAGACTGGCCGATACCCCCCCTCCCCCGCTCCCCCCCAATTCATCTGTTCCGAGTACTTTTCGAGCGCGCGGCTGCCTGTTGCACCTGTTCGGCGCGCGTTTCCAAGCATACGGCTGCCTGGTCCGACCTCTGCGAGCGCATATTTCCAAAGCGGCGGCGGCGCGGCGAGTCCGATGCGGTTTAGCACATGCAATACGGCTGCCAATTGTCAGAGTATTTGCAGCAGTCCTGGCCGCAGCTGCCAACGTCCGTCCAAACTTTTTCGGTGCTGCAGACCCTGATTTTGTTATGGTGCGGATAATCGCACGAGTACTCCCCGGGTTTCATGCATGTCTTGGAGAAGGAGCGGTCTTCAAGCTCAGCAGGGGCCGCCGCCGCTGCCGCCACGACCGCGGCAAGGAGCAAGATTTTCTTCAAGAAGGCCATTTTTGTACTTGGCAGGGGCGTTGAAAGAAAGTTGGGGGGCAGAAGTTGATGGTGCTGCAGGCAAGTTGATGATAAACAGACAAGTTGAAGCTGATGCAAGCAAGTTTAAGAGAATGAAGGGAGGTTGATGATAGAGAATATGATGAAAAGAGGGTGCGGTTCCAATCTTTTATAATGCTCAATCTTTTACAATGCTCAATCTTTTATAATGCTTAATCTTTTATATTGCTCTATAGCTATTAATACTCTAATGTTCATGATGTCGGTCTCTGGCGCTTGTTTGCTCTTCGCCATCACCACCATACCATGCGAGGCTATTTGTAGCCCAAGGTCCAGGCTGGCCAGCTTGTTTGCCCCCCTCCCCCCCCCCCTGTTCTCACCGCCACGCTAAGCACGGCCGCTCGTCTGATTCGACTCTTTTATTATTAGCAGACGCAATACGGCTGGTCTCCTCTGCACTGGCAGCAGCCATCGGCGCCGCATTTGCCCACGCGAGTCCAGAAGCCTTGCACACGGCCATGGCCCGGGGGAGTGCACCCGTGTCCCCAGGAGTGCTGCATGGAAGATCACCCGGCTCCGCCGCCACCACCGCCCCCGCGGCAAGGAGAAAGAGTTTATGTAACAAGGCCATTGTATTCACTTCGCAGCGCCTTGATAGGCCGAGGAGGGACGTTGGTGGTGCTAGAGGCAAGTTGAAGATGACGTAGGCAAGTAACAGCTAATGCAGGCAAGTCGATATTAACACAAGGATAAGAACACAAGGCAAGTTTAAAATAATAAAGGGAAGTTGATGATAGAAGGAAATAAGACAAAAATAGTGATATTTCTCTGTAGGCTATGAATAGTCTTGAGGTCCAGGATGTCCATCGCGGGCGCTTGTTTGCTCTTCTGCCATTACCAGCCTGCCCGGCTATTTGCAGTCCAAGGTCCAGGCCGGCTGTCTCAAGTGCTTGTTTGCTCCCTCCCGTGCTCTCCGCCACGCCAAGCACGGTGATTCGGCCCCTTTAGCAGATGCAATACGGCTGGTCGGCGATGAGGCTGCAGCAGTTGCGGCCGCCGCAGTTGGCGAGGTGCACCCAGTGGCCGGCGACGGTGCAGACGCCGATGCTGCCCCAGTCCGACGCAGCGCACCCGTACTCTCCGGGGGTGCATTCCGGGCCCCGGTCTTCGAGTATAGCGGCGGCGGCGGCGACGGTGGCGGCGGCGGCCAGGAACATGGTCTTCTTCAGAGAGATGGACATTGTAGTGTTTCTTCGTGGGGCGTTGAAAGAGGCCGAAGGAGGGATGTCGATGATGAAGAAGGGAACTTGATGGAGGAGGCAAGTTGATGATGATGTAGGCAATTTAGAGAGGATGCAGGTAGTTTGGAGAGGAGGCAGGCCAGATGAAGATGATGTAGGCGAGCTCACGAGGGCAGAGAGTTGAGGATAATGGAATGGAACAAGATGAATAGCGTGCTGAGTATGACATTTTATATATCGGTTGCTAGACCATTCATAGCCTGAGGTACAGGATGTCCATCTCCCCCAGGTGCTTATTTGCTATGATGCCATCACCGTTCCCGTAGCCCGAGGTCCTGGCTATCAGTCTCGGGTCCTTGTTTGCACTATCAATCTCCGTTGTCCCCTAGACCCGTCCAACCCGGCGTACAAGATGAACCAACACCCGTTTCCCTGTTTCCAAGCCGCGTTTGCAGGCGGCGGCCCGTTCCAATCCCATTCAGCAGGTGCACCAAGCAAGATTTCCTTCACCCGAGGCTGTGGCAACATAGAGAGCCCGCCACAATTACGGCTCGAAACCCCGGTTATCACCGCCACGCTAAGCTCGGCCGCCTCGTCTGGATCGGCTCCTTTAGCAGACGCAATACGGCAGGTCGTTTATGAATTGACAGCAGCCATTGCCGCCGCACTTGGCAGAGATGACCACCCTGCCTTCGCTGTTGCAGACTCCGATGCTTTCAGAATGCGGAGAAGTGCACCCGTAACTGCCTTCATAGCCATCGCATCGCTGCTGGGCTGCGCGGTTCTGGAGCTCAGCAGGCGCCGCCACCGCCGCCACCGCCGCCACCGCCGCCGCGGCAAGGAGTAAGATTTTCTTCAACAAGGCCATTGCGTACTTGGTAGAGCGTTGAAACAAGTTCGGGGGCGGAAGTTGATGGTGCTGGAGGCAAGTTGATGATGATGATGATGATGATGCAAGCAAGTTCAAGATGAAGAGAAGTTGATGATGGAAGAGACTCTGATGAAAAGAGGGTGCGGTTCCAATCTTTTATATTTCTCTGTAGGCTATGATTACTCCAACGTCCATGATGTCTGTCTTAGACGCTTGTTTGCTCTTTGCTATCACCACCATACCATGCGAGGCCATTTGTCGCCTCTTGGTTTGCTTCCCCCCCTGCCGTCTCAGCGCCACGCTAAGCGCGGCCGCTCGTCTGATTCAGCTCTTTTAGCAGACGCAATACGGCTGGTCGTTTATGAATTGACAGCAGCCACCGCCGCCGCAGTCGTCCAAGCGAGTCCATTCGCCCTGGCTGTTGCAGACAGCCATGGTGTCTGGGCGGGGAGGCCGACCCGGCGGCACCAGGTATCTCTCGCACAAGTACGTCCCAGGGCTGCAACCTGCTTCGGCTTCGACTCCGGCGATGGCGGCGACGGCAATGGTGGCGGCGATGAGAAAGCTCTTCTTCAAGATGAACATCATGGTGAGGCTTTGGGGACGGTTGAGAAGATTGGCGAGGTAAATTGAGGAGACGGAAGAAGATGTAAAGCGTGTTGGTTCAAGAGGATAGGAGACGATGCAGATCGTGTTGGTTGAAGATGCTGGAGAGGCAGACGCAGATCGTATTGGTTGGAGAGGATGGAGGACAAGAAGATACAAGACGGCTCAGCATGACCTTTTATATCTCTTGGTGAGCTCTTTCTGAAATGCTTCAACTCCCTCCACAGGGCCAGGCAACCTCTCTTTGGTGCTTGCTTTTTATGATGACATCACCATGTCGTCGCACAATGCAGCAACCATGACGACCGCCGCGTTTTGGCCGCCATCCGCGCCCTACCTACCGTATATCTTAATCCCAAGTTTTCACAAGCCTCGACGCGGTCTTGTCTCTACTGTGGGCTCGACCATTGGACAAATCCGAGACGCCTCGCTCATGTAAAATTCGTGTCGCGCTATACCCTCATGGCATCCAAGGCCTCCGCGCGCCTCGCAGCGATCATGTACAATTCGCGTCGCCTTTATCCCTTCGTAGGCACGGGCCGCCCGCCGAGTGAACAGACGGCCCATGCCCGACATTGTGCGACATAACGTCGTCGGGCCTTTGGCGCTTTGGTACTCGACATAAAGGGTTGCGCGCTGTTTACAGAATCGTCAACCTATTTTCGATAATTCTCGTCGTAGCGCATCGATCTCGTCGTGGTTAATACTCTAAATGCACTCGCATGGTCGAAATTCTTGTACAAATTTTCATTTGTTCATTGGATTTATTAATTGGACAATTTTATGTACGTCTTATCCCTCTCTATGCGCTGGCGACAATTGCCTCAATCTCAGCCGCCGTAGTGGGCAGGTTTGTCAGGTTCTCGTGGCCCGTCTCGGTGACGAGGATGTCATCCTCGATGCTACACCTGTTAGCGTCACTCATGTCAAATGCAGTCTCTGACTTACCGAACACCTCCGACGTCCCAGTACTTGTTGAGCACCTCTTCGTTGATGAATTTGCTATGGACGGGGTCCTTGAGGTAAGGCTTGATGATGAAGTCGCAAAAGTACACCTGCAGAGTTAGTGAGATGAGCCAATGAAAAAGGTGACAGTACATACACCAGGCTCAATAGTGACAACAGAGTTGGTAGGAACAATGCCGCGCAGACGCAGGTTGGGGAAGAGCTTGTCGGGATCCTGGCGGTTCTGGCCGCCACAGGTGTCGTGGCAGTCCATGCCGAGGTGGTGTCCGAGGCCGTGGGGGAAAAACGCAGCCGACGTGCGGGCGGCGAGGATGTCTTCGCGGTTGCCCTTGAGAATGCCGAGCTCGAGCAGTCCGTCAATGGCAATCGTGTGGGCGAGGATGTGCAGGTCGTCGTAGTTGACGCCGCCCTTGAGGCGCGCACTAGTCTCGTTCTTCATCTTGAGGACAATGTCGTAAATGGCCTGCGACTCCTTGGTGAACTTGCCGCTGATGGGAAAGGTGCGGGTAATGTCCGCGCAGTAGTTGTTGTACTCGGCGCCGGCATCGACGAGAACGTTTTGCTTGCCCTCGAGCGCGCAGGTGTTGTCAATGTAGTGCAGCGTGGCGGCGGCGCGGCCGCTCGCAAAGATGGGGTGGTACGACATCTCCTTGGAGTTGTACGAGTAGCAGCGCTCCAAGAAGGAGGCCTCGAGCTCCTGCTCCGTCGTGGCCGACTTGACGCGCTGCATGGCGGCGACGTGGCCGAGGCCGGAGACGTAGTTGGCGCGGCGGATCAGCGCCACCTCGTACGCATCCTTGACGACGCGGGCGCGCTCCATGGCGGGCTTGACGGCCGCAAGGTCCCGGGCGGCAAACGCATCCAGGGAGACGTGGGCCGAGACCTGGCCGTCAATGGCGTAGACGGTGCTCTTTGGGTTGGCGGCGGCGAGGGCGGCGAGGGTAGCAGGAAGCGCGGTGTTGGGCTGGACATGGTCGACGTCGTAGAGCTTGAGGGCGTCGTCGATGGTAGTCGGCAGGCCGGACCAGATGACGTCCTCGGGGTCGATGGGGGGGATGAAGAGGGTCGACTTGTCGGCCTGGATATCGTAGACGAAGTAGCAGTCGGCGAGGTTGCAGCCGGTGAGGTAGTAGAAGAAGCGGCGTTGGCTGTGCTGTTAGCGGCATGGCCGTTAATCGGACGGTGGTGGCCTACCGGAAGGGCACGGGGCCGTCATTGTCCTCCTGCATCTGGGTGTGGCGGGCTTCGAGGTAGATGACGCCGTCGGCAGCGGCGCCCTTTTCGCGGAGAATCTGGACGACGCGCCTGGCGTGCGCCTTGCCGGGGTACTTGCCCTTGAGGATAGGTTCGAAGTCTTGCGCCATGGTGAACGACGGATGTGGTGAAAGGGGTCGGGGCGGCGCGGGGGATGGTGATGTAGAGGAGGCAAACGTCCGGCGTTGTCGCGGAGCACAAGGTACGGTCTTAACTAGGGAGAGCACCGAGGGCGTCGGACAGAATGGCCGATGAAAAGTGAGACGGCGTCGGAGAGGGGCCGTGAGGAGGGGGATTGGACGAGAGAGAAGAGGTCGAGGAGGGGCAGCGCGCATCATGGCGGGGTAGCACCAAGCCGGCGAAGCACACGGCTGCAGGCTGCAGGCTGCAGGCTACAGGCTGCAAGGTACTTTTGCTCCTGCGTTGGGGGAGGTGGTACATACACGGCAGGGCAGCGAATTCCGGCGGTTCTGATTTGTGATGAGACGACGTTACAGCGGACAACAGGCCAATATTCGCCGCTAAAGGGGACGGCAACCCCGCTGTAACGCCGGGTGACGTTGTGCCCCACGGCGGCTGGAGTCGGCTGTATTTAGTTACCTATATTCATGTTGGTCTACGGCTTCCAGAAGTAGAGCTCCGTTGAGTAACGCGAGATGTTTTTTTTTGTTTTTTTATTCCTTGTTCTATTTACCACATTTATCTGGTATCACTCTACTCGTTCCGCTTCATGTTGCATTCTTTTCGTCTTGTTCTCCTCGTGTTCGTATCACGGCTTCATTTTGCTTGGCGGCAGCCTTTTACGTCAGCTCCCCGTTTGTCGTACGTTATGCCAACCGTTGACAAACAGCCAGTCGGCAAGTCTACCCGGTCTACCTGTTACGGATGAAAACTCAAATCAATCAAATCAAATCCTGCAAATCACAAATACCTCTCTTCTTCATCACGTAGCACCGAAATGTTTGCGCATCCTCCGCCACCTGCAGTTCCTCCACCACCCACTGGTGAAGCCTCCCACCCGCCTCCCACCTCGAAGCCCAATCCCACACGCCATGACAGCTCACCTCGCGCAAACACCAACACTCGTTGCCCCCAAACAGCCGCGATGCACGATACTTGATCCCCATTCACACATTCACACACGCCTGCAGCCAACTAGACGCTCCCTCGCTCCTTGTCCACCATCACCCACCTCGTCCTCCTCCGCCGTCTTCCGCCGCCCCAGCTTCGCATCACAGTCACAAACACGGCGAGACAGCCGCCGCGGCGCGCCGCCGCCGCTCCCTCAGCAACCCGCCCTGCTTTTTACGCCGTGAATCCCGAGGGCTTGGTTGCGTCTCAGGCACCCGCTTTGCCTTCCAAATTCTGCGGATGGGCGCGCAAACGACCTGCCACACACAAACACCTTGGGAAGCTGAAATTGTTTCAAACCTCGGCCATCGCCAAGCTCGTTTCCTCGGATCGGGGTGTGGTGTGGGCTTTTTGGCCGGAGAGGCCGCCACACACACATGCCCGTGCCCCTGCTCTCTTGTCCAGAAGCCAGCCCTTTTCTCACACTCGACTTGGCCGCCACGGATCGCCCATGATGACGAATGATTTTATAAACATGGCCGAAAAAAGCTCCGCAAGACATGACCTGATCCCTCTCTGTCAGTTTGTCTCTTGCGAATTTCACCGAACCCGACTGTCGACGCCGCCTGTCTCAAACGGCCTAACAAATGGAGCCTTGTCGCCAAGTCGCTCTCAATGACATGCCATGTACCCCTGGCCGCCTGTGCTTTCTGCCATCAGACGAAGGGCCGAACATGGCCAACATCTCGACCCCGTACGAATTACGGAGTAGTCTCGCCAGACTTGCACCTTTAGGCGCATCAGTGACGCATCGTCAGACGCCCCGGCCGTCAACCTCATGCCCATGTCTCTTCTCTTCCCCCGGCCCTCGGCTCCCGGTGCCTGCCCTGCCGACCATTGTCGGCCATCTGTCGTCGACTCCAAGACGTCCAAGACACACATGCTGCGAACTTCGATCCGCGATGCAGTGCCAAGGGCCGGCTGTCGATCTGCCGCGCTGCTGACCACGTCCCTGGGTCGACTTTTTTCCCCTTGTCTCGATATTTTATTTTTAAATTCTTGTCCCTGCTGCCTGTCAAAAATCGAAACCTTGTCTTTCCCCATCGTAGCCCAAAGCCCACTGTGCCCCATCTAGATCTGGCCAGCCCGCCTTGCCCGGCTGAATCGAACATCGTCGTCATCCTCCCATCCCTTCTTTGCGAGTCAATCACGCCCTCGTACATGCCCAATGTCCTCTCAGACAAGATCTAACCCGCCCTCTTTTGTTTTTTTTTCTTCCGCCTCGTATGCTCGTGTCTCCTCAGCCCGACTTGTAAATACCAGTTGTTGGCCCTCCCCCTAGCAGCGACATGTCTCTCACCTCTGCATAGAACAAGCAAGGCCTCATCCCGTGCACAGTACTTCCTTCCCCCCCGACCGAATCAGACCGGATCCCTACATAAATTTGACGCCTCTACCCGATCAAACTGCAGCACAGAGACAGTTGCATCGCACATTGTGCCACCTCTTTCGACCGCCGAACCGTTGAGACCCTAGCACCTGCTGTACCCCCCGAACCAGAGTGACACGGGCGACAACGCATAGACACCAACCACAGCATCCGCCTGCAATCTCGTCATCAAGCCAAATCAATTCGTGTTTCTTATGCTCACAGGTTCCCGACCATTTTTTTTACGTATAAGTCTCGCAAATATCCCAGCATGTCCGCCAGGGTCACGTACTTTCTCTGGGACCATAGCGAGCTCAACCATCACCAACACAACGACTTACACCAACACCCCAGCCCATCCTCGTCCTCGTCCTCCGCCATGGCCAACGTCACCATTGCCGTGCACCCGCCGTGCCGCGCCCAGACCCGGACGCTGCTCTCGCCGCCCGTCGTCGTCGAGCTCAGCGGCCAAAAGTGCAGCTCAGACATCCCCTTCTTCGCCACGGCCGTGCTGCTGCACCCGGCGTCGGGCGCCGTGGCCGAGGGCCTGCTCGAGGGCACCACGGCGGCGACGGGCGTCCTTCTCAGCGCGTCCTCGATTGTCTTTGCCTTTCCCGACCTGTCCGTGGCCGCGGCCGGGACCTACACGATGCGCCTCGACGTCTACGCCATGTACCCCGACAGCACCGAGGGGGCCACGCTGATTGCTCAGCTCGAGACGACGCAAATCGCCGTCCTCGATGAGCCGGTAGCCAGTCAGCGACCATGTATGTCTACGCTCCTCTCCCTTTGGTGGCGAAGACCCCCATGCTAACAATGCCATGAACCAGCATCGACGGAGGAAAACATGATACAGCTGATTAGAGACGCCGGGGTCCCACTATCGCCACCACACTGAAGCTGAAAAAACGCACTTGGCACTGGCATCGGTTGACACGTGAAATTGGGGCCCTGCTGTGTGCGCAGTGCGCACCGACGGAGTGGTAACCCATGGCTGACTGGGGGGGGCATAATCGTCCGCTGTTGATCGGATCTGGCATTGGTCTCAGTTGAGTTATGTGACTTGGGGCAGATGAGCAAGTGTCTAGCATGTCTTGAAGGATGTTGGGGGGATTAATCATGGCCACAGTGGAAAAGCGTGCAGTTTCTTTCTTTGTCGGGATGGGGGCGTACTAGGCGATTCAATCTACAGAGAAACAGGTTCAATTTGAGCATATTGATACGGTATTATTACATGATGCAGATGGACAGGTCCCATGTCGTGCTTGATGATCGGGGCCCACGTATCTCCCGTCGCTGGCGTAATAACGAGTAATAATTTAATATTGACCAACGCTCCTTGGCTCTGCGCGCTCTCCCGACGTCTTTCGGGGAGGGAACAGAAGCAAATTGGAAGCCTTGGAAAGAAATGTTTCAGAGAAAGAGTCGATGCCCTTCTTCAAGAAACAAGGCCTTGCGGGTTGGTTCAGGCTAGGCTGGGGAAGAATGGTACAAGACTGGGGGAAAAAGTCAGGCCATTTCAAACGACTAGCGCACGCGCAACCACCCTGTCTTGCTGAGGTCAGAATTCCAGCACCAGCCCTGTCTTGGTTTCCTTGATACCATGTTTCGTCAACTCCGAAGCTAAGTAGGTACTAATAAGCGAGAAGACGACCAATTTTTAAACCACAGTGTATATGGCGAGCCGAGAAAATCGTAGTTCAAGAGTAGAGCAGAAAAGTAGATTAAAAAATGCATCACAGTCACGTGCAAAAAACTCGCCATCTTGTTTCCCCACAGCAAGGCCAACGAAGCCACTGCGAATCACGACTCGGCGATTTCGATGTGTCCAAAAAGCAGCGCCGTTGAGAAGTAGCCGCCCGTCCTCCCTCCTCGCCTGGATGTAACACGCGCGTTACGGAGTTTTGAGTAGAGCGAAAACCACCCCGAAATCACCATGGTGTACTACTACAAGTCGGCCGTGGTGGAACCGGCCGGCTTCATCTACGTCGGCAAGGACAAGTTTGAGAGTGCGCCGCCCCTCCCGCGTATACGACCGGAATAGCAAGCGCTAACTCTCCGCAAGACGAGGATCTCATCAAGTTTGGCTGGGAGCAGGATCTCTGGTGCGTTTCACCTCCCCCGTCCCGTCCGCGCGGTCTCGCTAACTCATCTCTAGGGTACCACCACTCACTCACCCCTCCGCCCCAGGGTATACTGACCGCCGCAGTTTCACGTAGACAAGCTGTCCAGCGCGCACATCTACCTCCGGATGAGCGACGGCCAGAAATGGGACGCGCTTCCCGAGGAGCTCATCACGGACCTCGCCCAGCTCACCAAGGCCAACTCCATCGAGGGTAACCCTTCACCATCCTGCCCCGTTCCCTCGTCGCTAACCCCCCACTAGGCAACAAAAAAGACAACATCACCATCATCTACACGCCATGGTCCAACCTCAAAAAGGACGGCTCTATGGACGTCGGCCAGGTCTCGTTCAAGAACCCGCGCCTCGTCAAGCGCGTTCTCGTCGCCGAGCGCGAGAACCCCATCGTCAACCGCCTCAACAAGACCCGCACCGAAGTCAAGCAGCCCGACCTGAAGCAGGAAAAGGACGACCACGACAAGGAGCTGCGTCGCAAAGCCAACGCCGCTCTGCAGATCAAGGTGCGTCGTTTTTTTTTTTTTTTTTTTTTTAGCTCGCTTCGCTCGACGTGGGGAAGGGGTGCTAATGTGGGCGCGACTGTTAGCAAAAGGAAGAGGCAAGACAGGCGCAGGAGTGGAAGGAGAAGAAATGGCAAAAGGACCATGCGTACGATGACTTGTTCACAGAGGAGAACATGGACATGCAGAGTAACCAGAACCGGGATGCGGACTGGGAAGACGACTTTATGTAGACGGGCACCTCGGCGCACTTCACAACCTCCAACCACAGACTCGCTCACACATTTACAACAACAAAAGAACAAGAAAAAAGGAGGAAAGAGCATACCATCCATCTCAATTCAAGACAGTGGGACAGTCAATAGCAAACCAGCGCATGTTGTGCCCCCCCCCGGCAAAAAAAATCCGGGACCACCCAAGTCCTGGTTCAATCGTATTTTGTATAGGAAAAGCCGCAACCTTGAGATGGGGTTGCCGCCTCTTTAGTTATCATGCTCTAGCCGCCTATATATGTAAGTCTATCTAGTGCAGTGCCGCCTACGTAGCGTAGTACGCCTAGTTAGTAGTTACGCTAATAGTTGCCTACATAGCATAATACCCGGCCACGGAGCTAACCGAGCGTGTATGACTAATTGTCGTGCTTGGTTAGGAATAGTGAAAGTCGCCTACTTAGTATCTTACCCGGCCACAGAGCTAACTAAGCCTATAGTCAGTATGGCTAACTAAGCATAGAGTCAGTATGGCTAACTAAGCATAGAATCAGTATAGCTAACCAAGCATAGAATCAGTATAGCTAACCAAGCATAGAGTCAGTATGGCTAACCAAGCATAGAGCCAGTATAGCTAACCAAGCATAGAGTTAGTATGGCTAACTAAGAAGCTTGCTTTGCTAGTACCTCCTCTACCCTGATATCTTGTAGACTATAGTCTATAAGACTATAGTATTTTTCACTTATCGACTATAGTCTCTTGGTTTCTCTAACCGGGCCAAGCAATTGGATGTGATTCCCGGATGTTGTTGGACACGGCCGCGCTTAAAGAGTCTCAAGAAGGTTGTCGTGAGGTGCCCTGGCTGTCGCTCGCCGTCCGCCATTAATGGCAGAAGCTGAAGCCTCGAGCGGGGTCAGGGCGGATGGTCTATGGAAAGCAGATTCTGAGGAATAATTGGGATGTTTTTCGGCCTCCTGTGGGATGCGAATTCGCGTCGTGTTGGTTCAGGCGAATTATTTTGTTAGCCGCGAAGGGAAGTGAACAGACAACGCGACAGCAGCGCATGAGTGAGCATCGCTAAAGCAGACAACAGTCCAAAAGGGCTTATGAATAAAAAGAGATATACATACATACTGGTGACTCTTCCAGAAGGGCGCGCTCGCACCAAGCAGCGTTAGGCATCACCGTTTAGCGAGCAGGGTTTTTTTGTCGCCAACGATGCCATGCCCTATTTTCGCGAGCCGTTGAGCAAATTAACTCCTGCTTGGCTCCTCGACAACGCGATGCACCAAGGAGACAATGAAATTCTCTAGCCGAAAAGTGCAAAAATAAAAAACGGCACAACTCAACATAAATCTTGGATATACCAAACAATCGCGGCGTGTCCTCGCATAGCTCCATCAAACCGGGGCGAACACTTAAATGGTAAGTTACTGGATGGTGTTAACCGCTCATGCATGATAACTTCTACAGATAATAAATTCCTGATATATTTTGAACAATAAAGACAACAACCCGGCATTCTCTACCGGATGAGGGTCAAAAGTGAAAGCTGTTCCATAATCGCGACCGTTGCTTCAACTACATATCAATCCAAATCTCATTCTACAAACACCAACCATATAGCTCGCTAATCATACACGCTGGGTATCCGCGCCGTCAACTCCGCACCTCAATGCCGTGCTTGACCGCCATCTCGCGCATACTCAAGCCCTTCAATTCCCTCTCCAACGCATGCAAGCCCAGCACCGGCGTCAGCACCTGCACAGGCTCCTCCTCCAGCACCACGACCGGCTGGCCGCCAGGCAGCCGGACCTCGCCGGCGCCGAGCGTCTGCGCAATATCCAGCAGCAGCACGTCCATGGGGCATATATACGCGACGCGCTTGCGCACGCTCCACGCGAGCACGTGTCCGCACAGCGCGCCGTCGTCGGCGCCCACGAGCCACGCGCCGCTGTCGCCGGGGATCCCCATCGCCTGCACGCCGCTGCCGCCGCTCGCCACCTGGTAGGCGTGGCTCGGCGACGCGCGACCGTACATCTTGACGCTGCACAGCGCGGGGAGGATCTCGCCGCGCTGCGCGCCGCTCGTGCGCGCCACGCACCGCACGCGCTTCCCGGGGA